CCTCCGGTTCTGTTAGTCTCAATGGTGCCAAGTCAACCTTAACAGCTGCACTTCCCTCGTCTCAATAGAGATTTCCTCAAGAGTCTTCTTCCCTACTGGAGCAACAACAATGTAATTTTTATTACTACAACACAAAGACATCGTCTGGATCACGAGAAGTCAGCTGGACTAGTGACAACCTCTGGAGGGAAGAGACTTGGCACCACCGGACGGAAAGACGGTTTCCCCTGCAGACGTCTGGCGGGTAACAAGTGACCATACCTGTGGCCATAACTCACCCCGTTGTGGCTGCTGCCTTCACTCTAACATTGAGTCCAAGACCAGAAAACAACACATTTATACTTAAAAATGACTCACTGGGCAGTTCACACACGATAACAGTGATCTTAATTATCTTGTCTGAGTGTTGGTTCGTTATTACACAGTGTTATCCCAAAATACACAGACCTGGTACACTAACTACTAGGCACCTCACAAACATTCAACATTAAGTCACTATTCATCAATCACAGGTAAGATAGCCAGCCAAAAGACTAAATTATCCCTGAACGTTAGGATACTGAAGCCAGTGTAAGGCTGAGTGAGAGCCCTGTAGTGCGCCAGGGTTCTCACGCTTACTCTTACAAGTTTGTTCTACACACAGCCACTCGTCCGGCTTCCTCGCCCGGATTATCACGTCACTGAAAAACTTGAAAATCTGTTCAGTGTGTCGTGTTGTGTCCTTTGCTCCCTCTACTCCCCATCTCCGTTTCCTTTTTTCTTTTTATTTTATGTGTTTCTGTTGTTCTATTTAGTTAAGTCAATAAAATCTTGAGGGACGTAATTCTTCTTTCTTTGTATTGACAACGTCTCCAGGCCGCTTAAGACCTGTCCTGAACCACAACAAACAGACGTAAACTGACAGTCTCTCTCTCTCTCTCTCTCTCTGATAGTTTACATTAGATCACGGAAGAGGTGGCAGCCAGCGACATATTTATTACATAGCTTGTCGATACCAGCTAGACCAATCAGACCCCAGAGTGCCGCATGATGCAACACTCCCGGCTAGACCAATCAGACCCCAGAGTGCCGCATGATGCAACACTCCCGGCTAGACAATCAGACCCCAGAGTGCCGCATGATGCAACACTCCCGGCCTGAACCAATCGACCCAGGTGCCGCATGATGCAACACCCGGCTGAACAATCAGACCCCAGAGTGCCGCATGATGCAACACTCCCGGCTAGACCAATCCAGACCCCGTGCCGCATGATGCAAGCTTCTCCAGCTGACCAATCAGACCCCATGGTGCCACATGATGCAACATTCTGGTAAACACCGTGACGTACCACCAATGACGTCAGCAACACCTGTACCACCAGTGACGTCAACACCACCTGTACCACACACTTGCTCACCACCACACCTGTACAACCAGTCCGCTGATACCGTCATAAAAATTAGTACGTATATGTGCGATACTGTTTTACCCCACACCTGTTGTGTACAGTACATCTACCTTACCCCACACCTGTTGTGTACAGTACATCTACCTTACCCCACACCTGTTGTGTACAGTACATCTACCTTACCCCACACCTGTTGTGTACAGTACATCTACCTTACCCCACACCTGTTGTGTACAGTACATCTACCTTACACCCGTTTGTTTACCTGTTGTGTACAGTACATCTATTACCCCACCTGTTGTGTACGTACATTGACACCTGTTGTGTACAGTACATCTACCCCCACACCTGTTTTGCAATACATCTATTGGTGTGTGTTTGCTATAAATAATATAAGAGCAGTGGTCGATGATACAGGTAATGAGGCCCTGTACAGTGACCTCTCTCTCTCTCTCTCTCTCTCTCTCTCTCTCTCTCTCTCTCTCTCTCTCTTATCTCCTCTCCCTTTTACTTCCCATTTCTTTTTCTTCCTCTTTTATCCCTCCGTCTCGTCTTCTCCGTTGTCCTTTCATCCGCCCCTCCCCTATCACCACCTGGGCCTCCTCCCTGATACCCTGGGCCCCTCCTCTGATCACCACCTGGGCCTCTCCCCCTGATCCCACCTTGGCCCCTCCTCCCTGATCACCACCTGGCCTCTCCCCTGATCACCACCTGGCCTCCTCCAATCACCACCTGGGCCCTCTCCTGATCACCACCTTGGCCTCCTCCTGATCCCTTACCCTGGGCCCCTCCTCCTGATCCCCGACCCTGGGCCTCTCCCCTGATCACCACCTGGGCCTCCTCCCGATCACCACCCTGGGCCTCCTCCCTAGTCACCACCTGGGCCTCCTCCTGATCACCACCCTGGGCCCCTCCCCTGATCACCACCTGGGCCCCCATCACGTGCCACCTGGGCCCCTCCTGATCACCACCACAGGCCCTCCTGATCCCTACCCCTGGGCCTCCCTCCCCTGATCACCACCATGGGCCCCTCCTCCTCAATCACCACCATGGGCCCCCTCCCTGATCACCACCATGGGCCTCCTCCTGATCACCACCTGGGCCCTCTCTGATCACCACCTGAGCCCCTCCCCTGATCACCACCTGGCCTCCTCTGATCACCTGAGCCTCCCCCAGTCCCTGGGCCTCCTCCCCCTCTCCTGATCACCACCCTGGGCCTCCTCCTGATCACCTGGGCCTCCCCAATCACCTGGGCCTCCCCTGATCACCACCTGGGCCCCTCCTGATCACCACCCTGGGCCTCCTGATCACCACCTGGGCCCTCCCCTGATCACCTGGGCCTCCCCTGATCACCACCTGGGCCCCTCCCTGTCACCACCTGGGCCCCTCCTCCTGATCACCACCATGGGCCCTCCTCCTGATCACCACCATGGGCCCCTCTCCTGATCACCACACCTGGGCCCCTCCTCCCTGATCACCACCTTGGGCTCCCTCCCTGATCACCACCCTGGGCCTCCTCCTGATCACCACCATGGGCCCCTTCTCCCTGATCACCACCATGGGCCCCTCCTCCCTGATCACCACCCTGGGCCCCTCCTGATCACCACCCTGAGCTCCCTTCCTCCCTGATCACCACCTGGGCCCCTCCTCCCGATCACCACCCTGGGCCCTCCCTGATCACCACCCTGGGCCTCTCCCTCCTGATCACCACCATGGGCCCTCCTCCTGATCACCACCTCTGGGCCCTCCTCCTGATCACCACCCTGGGCCTCCTCCTGATCACCACCTGGGCCCCTCCTCCTGATCACCACCTGGTCTCTGATCACCACCTGGGCCCTCCTCCCTGATCACCACCCTGGGCCCTCCTCCTGATCACCACCATAGGCCCCTCCTCCTGATCACCACCCTGGGCCCTCCTCCCTGATCACCACCCTGGGCCCCTCACCTGGGTTGGCACCACCCATTCTCAGTGTATAGAGGCGTTTATCATGGCGTCGAGGCCATTGACCCTACCAACACCTGCCCTCAGCTGTCTCTTGTGCCACACCAAACAACCCTCTGTAATTCCGAAGTATGTGGTTGTCTATTGATTACCCCACATAGGCCTATGATACTACTGTCGTGTGTGTGTGTGTGTGTGTGTGTGTGTGTGTGTGTGCACACAGGCCTATGATAGTGCTGTCTGTGTGTGTGTGTGTGTGTGTGTGTGTACCCCACACAGGCCTATCATACTACTGCTGCTGTGTGTGTGTGTGTGTGTGTGTGTGTGTGTGTGTACCCCACACAGGCCTAAGGATTGCCGCTGCTGTGTGTGTGTGTGTGTGTACCCCACACAGGCCTATGATACTACTGTGTGTGTGTGTGTGTGTGTGTGGTGCCCCACACAGGCCTATGTGATACTACTGCTGCTGTGTGTGTGTACCCACAGGCCTATGATAATACTGCTGCTGTGTGTGTGTGTGTGTGTACCCCACACAGGCCTATGATACTACTGCTGCTGTGTGTGTGGTGTGGTGCTGTCCTGGCTCTTGAGCTGTACTAGGCCCCTTGAGCCTGTACTAGGCCCCTTGAGTCCTCGCACTAGGCCCCTTGGAGCCTGCACTGTCCGTGAGTCTGCACTAGGCCCCTTGAGCCTGGTGCTTAGGCCTCTGGAGTCTGCATTAGGCCCCTGAGCCTGCACTAGGCACTTGAGCCTGTACTAGGCACCTTGAGCCTGGCACTAGGCCCTCTGAGCCTGCACTAGGCCTCTTGAGCCTGTCACTAGGCCCCTTGAGCCTGTACTAGGCCCTTGAGCCTGTACTAGGCCCTTGAGCCTGCACGAGGCCCCTTGAGCCTGCACTAGGCCCCTTGAGCCTGCACTAGGCCCCTTGAGCCTGCTTCAGGCCTTGAGCCTGTACTAGGCCTCTGAGCCTGCATCAGGCTCCTTGAGCCTGTACTAGGCCTCCTTGAGCCTGCACTAGGCCCCTTGAGCCTGTACTAGGCCTCTTGGAGCCTGTATTAGGCCTCTTGAGCCTGTACTAGGCCCCTTGAGCCTGTACTAGGCCCCCTTGAGCCTGCACTAGGCCCCTCCTGAGCTCTGCATAGGGCTCTTGAGCCTGTACTAGGCCCTTTGAGCCTGGTACTAGGCCCCTTGAGCCTGTACTGGCCCTTGAGCCTGTATAGGCCCTGAGCCTGTACTAGGCCCTGAGCCTGCATTAGGCCCCTGGGCCTGCAATAGGCCCTTGAGCCTGTATTTAGGCCCCTTGAGCCTGTACTAGGCCCCTTGAGCCTGTACTAGGCCTCTTGAGCCTGTATAGGTGAGCCTGTTTAGGCCCCTTGAGCCTGCACTCAGGGCCTCTTGAGCCTGCACAGGTCTCCTTGAGCCTGCACCAGGCCCTCTTGAGCCTGCACTAGGCCCCTTGAGCCTGGCACTAGGCCTCTTGAGCCTGGCACTAGGCTCTTGAGCCTCTAGGCTTTGAGCCTGGCACTAGGCCTCTTGAGATTAGCCCTGGGCCTCTGTACTAGGCCTTTGAGCCTGCACTGGCCCCTTGAGCCTGTACTAGGCCTCTTGAGCCTGTAGTAGCCCTGAGCCTGCACTGAGGCCTCGAGCCCGCACCAGGCCCTGAGCCTGCACTAGGCTCCCTGTGAGCCTGCACTTAGGCCCCTTGAGCCTGTACTAGGCCCTGAGCCTCCAGGCCCTTGAGCCTGTGCATTAGCTGGAGCCTGTGAAGGCCTCTGAGCCTGCATTAGGCCTCTTGAGCCTGTACTTAGGCCTCTTGAGCCTGTACTAGGCCTTGAGCCTGTACTAGGCCCCTGAGCTTGCACTAGCCCCTGAGCCTGTACTAGTCCCTGAGCCTGTACTAGGCCCTGAGCCTGGTACTGAGACTGAGCCTGTATTTAGGCCCTTGAGCTGTACTAGGCCCTTGAGCCTGTACTAGGCCCTGGCCTGCACTAGGCCCCTTGAGCCTGTACTAGGCCCTGAGCCTGTACTATGCCCTTGAGCCTGTACTAGGCCTCTTGAGCCTGTACTAGGCCCTGAGCCTGTACTAGGCCTCTGAGCCTGTACTAGGCCCCTTGAGCCTGTACTCAGGCCCCTTGAGCCTGCACTAGGCCCTTGAGCCTGTACTAGGCTCTGGAGCCTGCACCAGGGCCTCTTGAGCCTGTAATAGGCCCTTGAGCCTGCAGCCAGGCCTCTTGAGCCTGTACTAGGCCTCTTGGAGCCTGTACTAGGCCCTTGGCCTGCACAGGCCCTTGGCAGAAGGCTCTTGAGCCTGCGTGGCCAGGCCCTTGAGCCTGCACTAGGCCTCTTGAGTCTGCACTAGGCCCTTGGTGCACTAGGCCCTTGAGCCTGACTGAGGCCCTTTGGAGCCTGCACTAGGCCCTCTTGAGCCTGCACTAGGCTTGAGCCTGCACTCGGCCTCTTGAGCCTGTACTAGGCCTCTGAGCCCAGCTAAGGCCCTTGAGCCTGCAGCCTCTTGAGCTCAGTATGACCCTTGAGCCTGCATTAGGCCCCTTGAGCTCTGTACTAGGCCCCTGAGCCTCCGTACTAGGCCCCTGAGCCTGTGCTAGGCCCCTTGAGCCTGTACTTAGGCCCCTTGAGCCTGCACTAGGCCCTGAGCCTGTATTTAGCCCCCTGAGTAGCGGCCTCACCGTAGGCCCCTTGGGCTGCACTCAGGCCCTTTGAGCTGCACTGAAGCTTGAGCCTGTATTTAGCCCTTGGCCTGTACTAGGCCTCTGAGTTTTACCTAGGCTCCTTTGAGCCTGTACTAGACCCTCTTGAGCCTGTAATAGACCCCTTGAGCCTGCACTAGGCCCTTGGGCCTGCACCAGGCCCCTGAGCCTGTGCCAGGCCCCTTGAGCCTGTCCACAACAGAGTATGGGCGTAACCTGTGAGCTTGACGTCTCTTAGGTCAGTATAAATGTGGGCCAGTGAGTCGGCATAGTCGTACGCCAGTGAGTCGGTATATGTCGGCCGCCAGTGAGTCGGCATAGTCGGCCGCCAGTGAGTCGGTATAGTCGGGCCGCCAGTGAGTCGGTATAGTCAGGCCAGTGAGTCGGTATAGTCGGGCCAGTGAGTCGGTATAGTCGCGCCAGTGAGTCGGTATAGTCGGGGCCGCCAGTGAGTCGGTATATCACAGTGAGTCGGTATAGTCGGGCCGCCAGTGAGTCGGTATAGTCGCGCCAGTGAGTCGGTAGTCGTGCGCCAGTGAGTCGGTATAGTCGTGGGGCCGCCAGTGAGTCGGTATAGTCGGGCCGCCAGTGAGTCGGTATAGTCGCCGCCAGTGAGTCGAGATAGTCGTGGGCCGCCAGTGAGTCGGTATAGTCGGGCCGCCAGTGAGTCAGTATAGTCCGCCAGTGAGTCGTATATGTGGGCCGCCAGTGAGTCAGTATAGTCGTCGCCAGTGAGTCATATAGTCGTGGCCGCCAGTGAGTCAGTATAGTCGGGCCGTCAGTGAGTCGGTAGGGTAGTTCATCAGTGAGTCGGTATAGTCGAGCCGTCAGTGAGTCGGTATAGTCGAGCCGTCAGTGAGTCGGTATAGTCGTGAGCCGTTAGTGAGTCGTACGCCAGTGAGTCGGAAAGATAACGTAACTTACTGATCTCAACAACTGTTTGTGTGGTAACTTCGCCAAGTTTGTGTGATGTTCGTCCACATCTTTAGTTCCAGAGAGAAAAGTTAACTTGTGAATCTTGGAGAAGGTTTTGGTGTCTTGGCTCAAGTGAGCCAACCTGATGCGTCTTTACATCTCTGGTAAGGAGGAAAATTTGGTGTACGAAGCTTGAGAGGTCTTTGTGTCATTCTTCAGTAAGGTACCGAGTCAGACGCGTCCTCACACCGCTGATGAAGGACAAAACTCAATGTCTGCATCACTGAGAATCAATTCTTTGCCTCATAGCTAAAGTGAACTGAAGGATGTGGTCTTACTCCGTCGGCTACGATGACGATTCAACGTGAAAATACAAGTTTATATTTGGGGCGTTACCATAATTAATCTTTAATACTGCGTTGAGAGAGACGACTGACCCGTGAGGGGAGAGAGGCGCCTCTGAGGTGGGTCGCTGTCTGGTGGTCATAGTGGCTGGTGAGACCCACCACTAACTCCCGCTGAGAAGGTTGATAAACAGGTCAGTTTCTGGTCATAGCTCACTCTCTCACGGCTCCGGCTGTCGGTTCACCCTGGGGTACATGACATCACTGTTGGAGCATAACACCTCAGCATAGATAAAACTTAGAGTATAATGCTCATCACATAAGGACGTGTTGCAAAATCAATGAACTGTACACACACACACACACACACACACACCTCCCCGGCCGAGACACCCTCCTCTCCCCTCTTTGTCCAAATCTGCCTGTTGGATCAATACACCACACCTGTAGTAGCCACCACACCGATACACAACTGATAGCCACCACCTGTAGTGCCACCACACGTACACACACCTGGTAGCCACCACCTGTAGCCACCACGATACACCACACCTGAGTAGCCACCACACCGATACACCACACCTGAAGTAGCCACCACACCTGTAGTAGCCACCACACCGATACACCACACCTGAAGTAGCCACCACACCTGTAGTAGCCACCACAGATACACACCTGAGTAGCCACCACACCGATACACCACACCTGAAGTAGCCACCACACCTGTAGTAGCCACCACACCGATACACCACACCTGAAGTAGCCACCACACCTGTAGTAGCCACCACACCGATACACCACACCTGAAGTAGCCACCACACCTGTAGTAGCCACCACACCTAAAGTAGCCACCACACCAATACGGTCTACGTCAGACATAGATCTCCGATAACTCTGTATCTGTATTTTTCTGGCTAAATAAAATGTTTCAATCAATCAAACAAATCCTGTGACGGAGGCCGGACACCCACCCCACTAGTAGTTCCTCACTCCCTGGTCAGCTGGTGTTAAATATAGCCATGTTAAATATATACAAATTACCGTGATTCTGGGATTAACATAACGTAGTACATAGCAACCTCGCCAGCTCTTTATGTTAAATATAATATAGTAGGAGAGGCAGCACTCGGCGGGAACAATATATATATATGTTAAACCGTAATATAGTATAACTTGGATCACATTTATTTTTATAATCATTGTCTGTAGTTGATGGACACACACACACACACGTCAGAAGAAAGCGGTGAACGGACACATTACCAACATTTACAAAAAACTAATACATGCAGTGATCACCCCCAGCATGAGTCAGTGTGGCGTTGCATTATAAGTTGTGAATTATTGAGAGAGGGTCTGGACCACCACCACCACCACAACTCGACGCCACGCCTTTCTTTCTCTTGCTGCTACCACAATACCCCACAACTACCACCAGTCACCGCCCACAGGTGATATACACAGTCAGCCTCACTTTCCTGGACGTCGTATATGCCCTTAGGTAGACCAAATGTTATAAGGAGGAAATAATAACAAGAAAATAAAAGGAACAGCGTTTGTGTGTTAGTAGTGTGAATCAATACTGAGGTCTTGTTGGTCCATGTTGCCACCACGACCACGGTACACACACACACACACACACACACACACACACACACACACACCACACACACCCATATTGTGGAAAAGTTTTAAAGTTGTGTACACGGAAATGTTTCATGTGTAAAGTGATCTATAATGGTGAATGATTTATGACCAGTACTCTGTGTGAAGGATCCATCCGTATTGGTGAGTTAGGACATTGAGTACATACTCGGGGTGGACACGAGTACAAGATCACACACACACACACACACACACAAATGAGTAACATCTGACCACATTATCCACAAAAACATTACTGTGCCATACAAAAGTAACTTTACGACTTTGTGTTGAGACAATATAAACAAATACGACGGATTATAACAACACTACCGAGACAACAGGTCACAGTGTTCATTCTCGAATTCAATGGAGCTGTCCGCGTCTTAAAGGGAGGGAGGAGGGAGGGAGGGAGGGAGGGGGGGTCTTATACTTAGAGCGAGAAGACACGTGACAATAGAGACCCCCACCTGTTACCTGTCACCCCCAGCTGGTTCACCAAGAAGACGACCCCACCTGTTACCTGTCACCCCAGCTGGCCACCAAGACGACCCCCAACCTGTTATCACCCCCAGCTGGTTCTCCAAGAAGACGACCCCCACCTGTTACCTGTCACCCCCAGCTGGTTCACCAAGAAGACGACCCCACCTGTACCTGTCACCCCCAGCTGGTTCACCAGAAGACGAGACCCGTTCCGTTACCTGTCACCCCCAGCTGGTTCACCAAGAAGACGACCCCCACCTGTTACCTGTCACCCCAGCTGGTTCAAGAAGACGACCCCCACCTGTTACCTGTCACCCCAGCTGGTTCACCAAGAAGACGACCCCCACCTGTTACCTGTCACCCCAGCTACAAGATGAACTCACCTGTTACCTGTCACCCCAGCTGGTTCACCAAGAAGACGACCCCCACCTGTTACCCACCCCCAGCTGGTTCACTACAAGACGACCCCACCTGTTACCTGTCACCCCCAGCTGGTTCACCAAGAAGACGACCCCCACATGTCACCTGTCACCCCCAGCTGGTTCAAGAGACAACTCCCCACCTGTTACTGTCACCCCCAGCTGGTTCACCAAGAAGACGACCCCACCTGTTACCACTTAGCTGGTTCACCAAGAAGACGACCCCCACCTGTCACCTAACCTGGCCAACAGTTGTCGCCCTTCATAATAAGGCTGTAATGAGGTCTTCCCACATCATCACCTGCCTGGTTTTATAAGTAAATGTTAACCTATAATGTTGCTTCTAAATAAATACGAGGAGAAGAGAGAGAGAGAGAGAGTTCTGTACAGTATAATGTTACTTTTTTTTAGGATCCGTTATTTTGCAAAATGACCACCATTCACATTGGTAATTTTGCAAAATAACTTAAGAACCTAATTATTGCTGTTGCTATAAGGTTATGTTAGGTTAGGTTGTCTGTTCTGCAACATTACTGTAACATACTACACATGCGGCCACTGTACTGGTACATCCTCCCACCACACACTACATCAACACTACCAGCACGTGGTGGCAACAGTGTGTGGCGAGAGGCGTGGGGAGAGGAACAGTGTGTGAGGAGCAGTGTGGCGGGAGCAGTGTGGGAGAGGAACAGTGGTGGGGAGAAGGCAGTGTGGGAGGAAACAGTGTGTGGGGAGGAACAGTGTGAGGAGCAGTGGGCGAGGGAGCAGGTGAGGAGGTATAGGTGTGAGGAACAGTGTGGGGGAGGAACAGTGTGGCGAGGAACAGTGTGGGAGGAACAGGTGGCGAGGAGCAGTGTGGGGCGAGGAGGTGGGCGAGGAGCAGGGGCGAGGAGCAGTGGGGAGAGGAACAGTGTGGGGGAGGAACAGTGTGAGGAACAGTGTGGGAGGGAACAGTGTGGCGAGGAGCAGGCGAGGAGCAGTGGGCGAGGGCAGGGGCGAGGAGCAGTGTGGGAGAGGAACAGTGTGTGGGAGGAGCAGGTGGGAGAGGAGAGTGTGGGGAGAGGAACAGTGTGTGGCGAGAACAGTGGGAGAGGAACAGTGTGGGGAGAGGAACAGTGTGAGAGGAACAGTGTGGGGCGAGGAACAGTGTGTGGCGAGGAACAGTGTGTGGCGAGGAACAGTGTGTGTGAGGAACAGTGTGTGGCGAGGAACAGTGTGGGGGAGGAACAGTGTGGGGCGAGGGAACAGTGTGGGGCGAGGAACAGTGTGGGGCGAGGGAACAGTGGGGCGAGGAACAGTGGGCGAGGAACAGTGGGGCGAGGAACAGTGTGGGGCGAGGAAGTGTGGCGAGAACAGTGGCGAGGAACAGGCGAGGAACAGTGAGGAACAGGGGCGAGGAAATGTGGGCGAGGAACAGTGAGCGAGAAACAGGGGGCGAGGAACAGGTGGATGAGAACAGTGTGGCGAGGAACAGTGTGTGGCGAGGAACAGTGTGGGGCGAGGAACAGTGT